CCTACACGAACTTGTCATCTTTAGGCTGGTGTGTAGGCATGAACTTATGATACTGTAGTGCCTTGAAGAGCAGTAACACCTCTCAGTAATGCTTTTTTAACTCTTCTCCTTAGGGCACACCTTTTATTTCTTTCTTTTCCTTTCCCTAAGGCTTTCTAATTTACTGAAATGGAAGGAATGTGAATATCTGCTGAGAAGAATTTTTGCTTTAAGATCCTCTCTTTTATTTAACACAGGCCTGGGGATAGCTGTATGAGAAGCCATTTCACCAATATTAGTCTCAAATGGGGAGTTATATCTGGGAACTAATTTTTCTTTTATCACTCACAAATACATAGTGTGTCTCTGTTCCCTCAGATGTATAGTATCTAGTAAGAAATACCACTGACTGACAGGAAAGGATACTAGCATGTCACAGAGAAGAAATGGTTGCTTGTTTCCAAAGCAAAAGCTTTTACATGTTTGAGAGCTGTCTTTTTCTGTCAGACATAGTTTCCTTTTCCACTTCCAGTGATGCTGGAGGGTCCAGAAACTGGTGCTCTTGCATTATCCAAGATCTTCAAATAGAAATTTTGCTTGTATTTTAAAAAACACAAAAGTTGAGGTGTTCTTAGGCAAGGATAGCTAGCTTCTAAATGTGACATTTGGATTTAGCTGGGAGATCAGCTGTATGTCTAAGGCAATAAAGTATCTCTAAACATTCTTTGGCAAGTGTGTTCTTGCAAGTGTGTAAGTACTTCACTTTGCTGAGCATCCGGCCACAGTTGTTTAAGGATAAGTAAAAGAAACAGGGTATGTGACAGTTATCTTTCTCTAAATATATCAGCCAGGATTCACTTATAGCTTCTGTGGTCAAAAGACAGAATAGATAATCAGAGCACGCCAAGAGATAATTAGATTTCTTTGGAAGAGAGACTTACTGATATATGCAGTTCTAGATACAAATTGCAGTTTATCGAGCTGCTTTTACAAAACAGAATTCCTACGTGAAATATGATCTGCTTCTTTCTACAAATTCCACATAGACATGTGAAGAAGGAAAAATAGGTAAAAGCCACCATCCTCCACTGTATCAAACTATCTTGTTAGAAGTATATTTGGAGGCATAGGCATGGATTCTGAGTATGTCTGTTACTGTGCAAGCCTCTGGTGTTTGGAGAGAAGTGTAGAGTGCACTTTAGCAGTAGATGTAATCAGCTAGTACCTGAACAATGCTTTGTATTTTCTAGAGGAAATCTTTATTTCTTAGACTCCTCTATTTCTGTCTTGGCCCCAAATTTTGTATCTTGGACAACTGAAAAATGCCAAGAAGGGCATTTGGCACTGAAAATGCCAAAATGCCAACACCTGACTACCAGAGAAATATCATGGTACTCCACATGCTATTTTGATTATGATAAATGGAAGAGTACTGTGTTATGTGACTTAAAGTTTCACCGAACTTGAATCAGTCTTAGTGTGGCCATATAACATAGGGAAGAGTGAAGGCAACTGGCCTTGTGTAGTATTGAGAGCATGTAAGAGACAGTGGATTTTCCAGTTTCGGAGAGCCAGCTCAAAATCTACCTGTAGGAGCTATAGAGGGGAAAGACTTTGTGAGAGAAGAAGCTTTTCCCTTCTGTTATTTACTGCTTCTAGAGTAATTTTTCTATTTTAAATCTCAAAGGGCTGAGCAGGTATAATATCTGCCTTCAAGAAGTCATGGTCAAAGTGGATCTAATGACTTAACCTCTATTTTTGCCTTCTCACTGTGCTCCTTGGCCGAGACAAGGAGCACAACTTACTGAAATTCTCGGGAATGCATGTGGCTGCTGTGCCATGACAGAAATCAGTTATGGCATGTGGGTTGTACATAGGCCTCAGTGAATGCTGCTGTTCAGAGGCAGAGTGAGTGTGTATGGAGCACATGCACATCAGAAACGTGAGAATGACACGTTCTCAAAATCGAAACATGTTTTTGTGGTAGACAAAAAACAGTTGGGGGTTTCAAATACAGATCTGTATTGTTTTGTGGACTTCCAACAAATACTGAAAATGCTTTTAGTTTGCAGATGGCTTAAAATGATGGTGGTATGTCAATAAGAAGCTTTAAACTACCTGTGTGAAAAGACAGTAGAAATTACTCTAGCATATGACTAATAGCATAGAACTGTATATTATATTACAAAAAGGCAGTTATTTAATCCTGCTCTTCAGGGAGATGTGTAGCACCTGTGGTCCTTTATACTTTGGGGCATAAAGGGCTTAATTCCATATATTTGCTAGGTTTATTGTTGTTGAGAGGGTGACAAGAACATGACCAGTATGTATGTAATTCTCTGCACTTGATATTTACTAATTTTTTTTTAATTTTATTTTTCAGGTTGTCCGTCAGATGATGTGGCTGATGGATCATATTTTTAAGTATACAAACTTTGGCATTGTGTCTCTAATCCATGGAGACTTCTTTATAAGACAGGTAAATGGAGACACGTAATAGTGCTTTAATTTATGAGCTGGCAATGTGCACTTGCAGCCCAGAAGGCCAACTGTATCCTGGGCTGCAGCAAGAGAAGCGTGGCCAGCAGGTCGAGGGAGGTGATTCTGCCCCTCTACTCTGCTCTCATAAGGCCCCACCTGGAGTGCTGCGTCCAGTTCTGGAGCCCCCAGCACAAGAGAGACCTGGAGCAGCTAGAACAAGTCCAGAGGAGGGCCACGAGGATGATGCGAGGGCTGGAGCACCTCTGCTATGAGGACAGGCTGAGAGAGTTGGGGCTGTTCAGCCTGGAGAAGAGAAGGCTCCAGGGAGATCTTATAGTGACCTTCCAATACCTGAAG